CACTACATGTTAACTAACTGGAACTTAAATAAAAACTTAAAGAAAAACAACTAAGAATGATGGATAAAACAAAATGAAAAAAGAAAACAACAATAAAATTTCAAATGTGCATGTTCTGGCAAGATCGGTAGAAATCCTGACTCTAGAAAAAAGCAAGAATCTAGACATTAAAAAAAAATCATTCACCACAACCAAGTGGGATGCAAGAATGGTTTAATTTTGGCAAACTAATCAATGTGATACACCACATTAACAAAATGAAGGCTAAAAATCATATGATCATCAACAGATGCAAAAAAAAAAAGCATTTGACAAAATATAAAAACTTTCAACAAAGTGGGTATAGAGAAAACATAACTCATCATAATTAAGGCCATCATATATGACAAACCCACAGCTAACATCATACTCAATGGATCAGGAACAAGAGAAGGAAGCAGCTCTCTCAACTTTTATTCAACATAGTACTGGAAGTCCTAGCCACAGCAATCAGAGAGGAAAGAAATAGAAGGCACCTAGACTGTCAAGAAGAACTAAAACAGTCACTATTTGCAGATGACATAATACTGTATTTAGAAAACACCAAAGACTCCACCGAAACACTGTGGGATCTAATAAACGAATTCAGTAAAGTCCCAGTACACAAAGTAAATAACAAAAATCTGTTGCATTCTATATGGTAACAAACTGACAGAAAAAGAAATTAAGAAAAAAAATCCCATTTACAATTGCATTAAAAAGAATAAAATGTTGGGATGCCTGGGTGGCTCAGTCGGTTAAGCGTCTGCCTTCAGCTCAGGTCATGATCCCAGGGTCCTGTATTGGGCTCCCTGCTCAGAGAGGAGCCTGCTTCTCCCCCTGCCTACTGCTCCCCCTGCTGTGCTCTTTCTCTCTCTCTCTCTCAGACAAATAAATAAATAAATAAAATGTTAAAAAGACACTGATGAAAGAGATCAAAGACACAAATAAATGCAAAGATATACCATACTCATGGACTGGAAAAATTAATATCGTTAAAATGTCCATACAACTCAAAGCAATCTACAGATTCTATGCAATCCCTATCGAAATACCGATAACATGTTTTCATAGAACTAGAACAAATAATACTAAAATTTATATGGAACCAGAAAAGACCCTGAATAGCTAAAGCAATCTTGAGAAAGAGTAACAAAGCTGGAGGCTCACACTCCCAGATTTCAGGCTACACTACACAATACTATTTTAAGTGAAACAGTATGGTATTGGCATAAAAAAGATCAATGGAACAGAATAGAGAGCCCAGAAATAAACCCATGGTCAATTAATACATGGTCAATTAATCTATGACAAAGGAGGAAAGAATATACAATGGGGAGAAGACAGATTCTTCAACAAATTAGTTGAGAAAACTGGACATCTACATGCAAAAGAATGGAATTGGGTCACCTTCTTATATCATATCCAAAAGTAAATTCAAAATGTATTACATTTAGGTCTTCTAAATCTAAGTTCTGAAACCATAAAACTCCTAAAACAGATAGTAAGCTCTTGGACATCAGTCTTTGCAATATTTTTTTTGATTTGTCTCCTCAGTCAAGGGCAACAAAAGCAAAAATAAACAACTGGGACTACATCAATCTAAAAAATTTTGCATAGCAAGGAAATCATCAACAGACTGAAAAGACAACTTAATGAATGGGCGATATCTGCAAATGATGTATCTGATCAAGGGTTAATACCCAAAATATGTAAGAAACTCATACACCTTACACCAAAAAAACAATCTGACTTAAAAAATGGGCAGAGGACTAGAAGAGACATTTTTCCAAAGAAAACATACATATGCCCAACAGACACATGAAAAGATGCTCAACATCACTAATCATCAGGGAAATGCAACACAAACCAAAACCACAGTGAGAGATCATCTCATGCCTTTCAGAAAGGCCAGTATCAAAAGGACAAGAAATAACAAGCGTTGACGAGTATATAAAGGAACCATTGTGCACCACTGACAGGAATGTAACAATTTGGTGCAACCACTGTGGAAAACAGTAGAGAGGTTCCTCAAAAAATTAAAAATAGAAATACCGTATGATCCAGCACATCTACCTCTGGTTATTTACCCAAAGAAAATGAAAACACTAATTCTAAAAGATACAGTTATGGGATGCCTGGATGGCTCAATTGGTTAAGCATCCAACTCTTGATTTCAGTTCAGGTCTTGATCTCAGGGTCATGAGTTCAAGCCCTTTGTTTGCTGGGCATAGAGCCTACTTACAAAAAAAAAAAAAAGATATATGTACCCCTATGTTCACTGCAGCATTATTTACAACAGCCAAGATACAGAAACAGTCTAAATACCCACTGACAGATGAATGGTTAAAGAAGATTTGGTGTATATATATAATAGAATATTACTCAGCTATAAAAAAGAATGAAACCTTGCCATCTAAAACAACATGGATGGGCCTACAGGATATTATGCTAAGTGAATTTGATTTTACTTCTACGTGGAATCTGAAAAACAAAACATATGAACAAACAAAACAAAATTCCTAAATAGAGAGAACGAACTCATGGCTGCCAGAGGGGAGGGAAGGGTGGTAGGGGGATGGGCAAAATAGGTAAAGGGAATTAAAGGGTACAAACTTCCAGTTAAAAATAAGTCATGGGGATGGAAAGCATAGGAAGTATAGTAGAAAATATTGTATCTTCGTATGGTGACAGATAACTATACTTATCATGGCAATCATTCTGTAATGTATGTAAATGTCAAATCACTACATTGTACATCTGGAAGTAATATAATAGGGCACCTGGGTGGCTCAGTTGGTTGAGCGACTGCCTTCGGTTCAGGTCATGATTCTGGAGTCCCTGGATAGAGTCCCGCATCAGGCTCCCTGCTTGGCAGGGAGTCTGTTTCTCCCTCTGACCCTCCCCCCTCTCATGTGCTCGCTCTCTCTCTCTCTCATATTCTCTCTCTTTCAAATAAATAAATAAATAAATCTTTGAAAGTAATATAATATTCTGTGTCAACTGTACTTGAATTTAAAAAAAAGGTGAACTTTCTAGAAAAAAAAGACAATATAAATTATCAATATCAAGAATGAGAGATAATATCACTACAGATTCTACACATCTTAAAAGGATGAGAGTATTACAATTAATTTTATGCCAATAAATTCAACAATTTAGATGACATGGACAAATTCCTTGAAAGATAAAACTGTCAAGGCCCACTCAAGAAATACAGAATCTGAATTTCTCTTTATCTATTAAAGAAATCAAATTTGTTGTTAAAAACCTTCCCACATCAAAAACTCCAGGCCTAGAGGGTTTCACTGGTGAGTACTACAAACATTTAAGGAAGGTATCATACCAATTCTACACAAACTCTTTAAAAAATACTGAAATATTTCCCAACTCATTCTTTAAGGTATTACCCTGATATCAAAACCAGGCAGACACACAAGGAAAATACAGACCTCATGGAAACTGATGCAAATTTATTTTTATTACTTTTTAAAGATTTATTTATTTGACAGTGAGAGAGGGAACACAAACAGGAGAAGTGTGACAGGGAGAAACAGGCTTCCCACTGAGGGGCTCGGTCCCAGGACCCTGGGATCATGACCTGAGCCAAAGGCAGATGCTTAACGACTGAGCCACTCAGGTGCAAAATTTTGTAAACCGAATCCATCAACATAAAAAGGGAAAATACATCCGAACCAGGTGAGGTTTACTCTAAGGATACAGGTTGGTTTAACATTTGAAAACAAATGTTAATTACCACATATCAAACTGAAATATGAAAACCATTCAATATGCATTTTTTCCTCCTCAAACAGCTGGTTATCTATCTGTATTTCTGGGTATCTCTGGGGTTTTGATTCTGTGCCCCTGACCCATATTTCTATTTTCAGGTTGGTTCCCCCAAACTTGAGGACTATTCATGGGTCCCCCCTCTGTCATCGGTAGCCACATCTATTCTGCACTTCTCAAGTTTGTTTACTCTGGAATCATCTTTGTCAAGTCTATCTTCTTTGTCCTCACATATGGTCTAGCACCAAGTGATTCCATCTTATTTCATTTTTTTGAGGGAGAGCGCATGCACATGCATGTGCATGGTGGGAACAGGGGAGAGGGAGAGAATCTCAAGCAGGCTCCATGCTCAGCACAGAGCCCAACATAGGGCTCCATCCCATGACCCTGAGCGGAAGTCTAGAGTCAGATGCTCAACCAACTGAGCCACCCAGGCGCCCCTCAAATGATTCCATTTTTAGTAGGCTTTAGATATATCTGTTTCTCCCCTTCTGGCTGCTCTAATCCAAACCTTAATCATTTTACAGTAGGAAAAGAGCAATAACCTCCTTGCTGGCCTCTCCCCTCAAACCTATTCAACTCATAGCAGAGAACCTTCTTACTCACATGTTATTTTGAACAGAGCAGTAATTTTTAATTGTTTAAACCAAATGGTTTAAGACTTGAAGACACCCCCCTACTCACCTCCACCTAGAGGCCTTCATTTCCTAGCACTCTGGATCTAGGCTCGTCAATACCGCCAACTATGTTTTCTCTCCTCATTGTGTGTTCCCCAGTCCTAGGTACTGATTCCACAGCCCACATCCTCTCAACTGTCATGTGATATAGTATTTAAGAATGTGGGTGCCAGACTCCTAGGTTAGAATAATTCCATTTCTGATTAGCTATGACCGTCTGTATGCCTCAAGCTTCATGTGGAAAGCAAGACAATTACAGTACAAACCACAGCACCAACTGGCCTCAGCTGTGGCTAGGAGTAACTGAGATAATCTATGTAAAGCACTGTCCCGCACATAGTAAGCCCTGAGGAAGCATTAGCTATTACTACTGTCCCACTATTACTATATTGCAAGCGAACAAGAGACCTAGGGTCTGGCACACAGGTGGTCCATAAGATGAATATTTATTCTTGCTCCCAAAATTATTCAAACACTAGTGAAAGACACAGGTTTTAATCTGGGAATTCGACCTACCTTTAAATCTGAGTTGGTTGCAAATTTCTGTCCAATTAAAGCTGCATTTCCTCCTACATAGTGCTGTAAGATAGTTCAAAGTTATTAGATAGTATTTTAGCAAACCACGTTACCCAAGCTTAGTAATTTTTTAATTTATTGAATTTATAGTCTTTTTTTCCAAAAAATTTTGAGGCTGCTTTACAACAATGACACACAGATGAGGTTTTAACAAAATCATTAGCCACATAGGTTAAGAGACAATGATTTTTAAACAAAGGTGAAAAAAACCAAATATGCTAACCATGAAAATTAGTATAACTGCCTTAACTGTAGATCAAATCTGGCCTTGAGCTTTCAGGAAGCCAGAAGAGATAAAGGAAACATGAAAAATGTGGACAGATCCTATCTTCTGTGCCACAGTCCTACTAAAACGAGTGTATGCTTGTGTTGCTCTCCTCCTAAAAATCATTCAATAGACACTACAATGAACTAAACTCCAACTTGTAAGTGAGGCACACAGGCCTTTCCTTATCTGCTCCCCACCCCCCTGCCCTCTACCCTCCTCTCCTGCGCCTCCCTCCCACGCCATGCCTGCAGCTCTCTGAGCCTGTCTTCCTGTCTTTGTGCTTTGAGCACATGCTGTTCCTCTCTTCCGGATGCCTGGCCCTTCTCATGCCCTGGGAGATCCCCGCTTCCTTCTCAAGAGTCAGCTGCACGCACCTCTTCTGCCATGCCTGCTGCCCCCTTTCCCCACTGCCACCTCAGCCTCCACAGCTGCCCTCCCAGACAGGATTATAGATTCCTTGCTACCCCTATACTCGAGCCTCCACTAAAGCCCTTGTCCACTTGGGCTACTGTCATCTGGGTACATGACCAGCTCCCTCAGGGCTGTCTTCTTATAGTAAGTGCTCAGTGGATGTTTGTTGCTTAATTTTTGAGAAAGGTGTGTTAGAAAATACAAAGGCTTTCCTGGGAGCAAGTCTAAGTATAATGGGTCCTAATGTAGAACGATGTCTCCTAAACACTGCCTCTTTCAGCTGCAGACCCGGTGCTGGAGAGGCAGACGATTCAAGGCTGGCATTCCATGTTGCTGACTAAGGATGGATCCATGTGTTTTGGACACCTGACAAGTAGGAGATAAGGCTGATCCTCCATTATGAAAACTGAGAAGCCTAATCAATACTCTTGCGCAGATGGAATGCCACAATCTCACCTTCCAGTCCTTGGCCGTATGCAGAGGCACAGACTAAACAATTCAATTCTAGATTCTAGACATTGCTTTCATCCTAAGCTTTGTGATGACCAATCTCCAGATTCAGGTAAACAGTAACCACTTCCTATAGGTAAATTTAAAGCTTTTTGTGATATACAGGCTAAAATTTGGTCTTTTCACATGTTAGCACGAATTTTTGACTATTATGGCCAGAAGAATTTACTAAAAATCTTGGGGAAAAATATTAAGATTCCATGAAGTGGATTTTGATTTTTCATGAAAGTTATTGACTACTGTTTTATCAATCTGCTTACAGTTTAAGGGAGTTTAAAAAGATACCAGATGAAGTGTTGCCCTCATGGAAGGTAAGGAGAGCATTTTAGGTCTCATAATTTTAAGAAATAACTTGGACAATCAAAAAGGTAGGTGAAGTCTTTATAGAAAAAACTTTTTTTTTTGCATTATGAAACAAAAAGCAGGATCAAGGCAGAAGAGAATAGAAATTGAATTAGTGGTTCAAATACTATGATCATAAAGACTTTTAGCAGCAGACTTATGTTAGAACTATCGAGATTCTTTCATAAGAGATCAGAATCTCACTAGTGAGCTCAGCTGTAAAAATGACTGCAGCTGACATTTTAACAGCTTCCTGTCTGCTTTACAAACTCAGCTGGGTAACGCCCGTGCCTACTTCTAATGTTCAAATGGGAAGCTTCAAAAGCAAAAAGAACTTTACCTTGAAAGTTCTCAAAATAAAAGTGGTCATAAAGAATGGCCTGTGAAAAGTACCAATTAAAAATGGCATTAAGAGCTTCCCTAGCAAGAACCACATCCAGACTGGGGGTGACTAGCCAAGGGAAGATTTTAGGTGAGTAGGAAGAACTGGGTGGTGGACAGACACTGAAATAATCAAAATTCAGTCTCAAGAGGCATGAGGGCACGTGTAGCAGCAGGTATGCTGGGGTGATGGCCTGGGATCTCCAGGCCCAGCACTGCCTCTTACTCCATGTGAACCTCAAGGAAGTATCTGGACCATGTGGGCCTCAAGGCTTTGTTTATGATCACCGTGTGAGCTTGGGGACCCCTAGATCTGACAGGTTCTACCCTGTAGACCAGGGGTTCTCAAAACAAGGTCCTCAGAACAATAGCATCAATGTAACCAGGAAACTTCCCAGAAGGGAAGTAAATTCTCGAGTCCCCATCCTACAACTACTGAATCAGAAACTTTGGGAGCAGGGCCCAGGAATCTGTTACAATAGCTGCCCCCCTGACAAATGACTCTGTGTTTCAGGTCTGAGAACCACTGATCTAGACCAGTGCTTCTCAACCAACGTGATTTTGCTTCTCTCCTCTCCCTAGCCCTGGAAACAACTGACCATATCTGGAGACATTTTTTAACTGTCACAACTAGGGAAGGAGGGGAGTGCTACTGTCTGATCCAGTGGGTAGATGCGAGAGATGCTGCTGAACATCTCACCCTGTGCAGGACAGCCCCTACAACAAAGAATTATCCAACTCAAAGCATCTGTAATGTTGAGGTAAGGAACCTGGTTCTGGACCACCAGAGCAGAGGTGAGGAACCAGGACTCCCTTGCCCAAAGGGAGCAAAAGCTAAATCTTGTGCTCTGTGTGTTTGGCCTTATTCTCCTGCTCAGGAAGGATTCAGCCACATTACGATTATTCCACGTTATCAGCCACAAGCAATATCCAAACAAGAGTAGGCATCTTCCCTCCTTCAACTTGGGTAATATGAAAAAAGAGCAATTTGGTGGATGAACTAGAACCAAAATTTTAGTAACTATGCTTCATAAATGTTGGCTGAATTGAACTGACTAGAAACAGCGGAGTTCATGGAAGTTTAGATACACAGTTTGACAAAGAGGGAAAACACTGCAGAACTGGATTCCCAACAATCACCCTCCAGAGAGACTGGAGGAAAAGTTGCTTGGTTGCTTTTAGGAACCTTACAAAAAGCTATCTTTCCCACCTTATTATCAGTTTAATATCTGATACGTCCTCTATCCCACCTTATCTTAAATTTACTGCTGGTGAACCAAACAGACCTGGGCTCCTGGGAGCTCTGACGCAATCTGGGCAATGTCATGAAAAGCTTCCTTATCGCTGAAGAAGCGCTCAGCTGCGGCTCCCTTCCCCATGAAGTGAACGAAAGCTTCTTCCAGATCATTCCTTGAATGCAGAATGGTGTGATCTTTCCCATTCCCAGGACTCCGGCCAAGTGCCTGCAAGAGCTTCACCCCCGAGAGCACTACATCCACACAGGCATTGACTCTGGAAGGAAGGAGGAAAGAATGTGAAAGAAAAAGGAGAAGCACCAGGGCAGCTACTTTGCATTAAAACAGAGAAATGTTTCCAGGAACTGTATCCAAACAGAAAAACAAAGGAAGCAGATCTGAAATCTGAACTGGGAAATAAATAGCATATGGCGGAAGGAAGATTCCTTTATCTGGACATAAGTCTTAGGATGAGAACATAGGACTCTTTCCAACAGGTTGGCAAGCTTTTTTTTCTTAAAGATTTATTTATTTGTGAGAGAGAGAGAGAAAATGAGAGAGACAGAGAGAGACACGCTGAGCAAGGAGCCCGATATGGGACTTGATCCCAGGACTCTGGGATCATGACCTGAGCTGAAGGCAGATACTTAACCAACTGAGCTGCCAGGCATCCCCAGCATGGCAAGCTTTTACGTTAGCTATAAAGAGAAAACAGGTGCTCAGCATTTCAGAACAAAGCTATCATAACACAAATACAGCATTTCTGAGAAAATGTTGGCAAAGCCACACTGTATGGATTCCTCCTGGCTTTGTGACTTGGGCAAGTCACTTTAATTTCCGGGCCTCAATTTCCTCATTTATAAAAGGGTGTAATATGGGTGTTTGACTCATAGAGCTGTTTTGAAGATTAAGTTAATATATGCTTAGGAACACTGCTTGGTGCAAAGTAAGCAAAATATAAGTTTTGGTCAAAAGCCAAATATCAGATACCTTCCCACCAAAGACACATTAGGATGGTGGTAAGATACACTAAATACCTAATGTCTAAATAACTCCTGGCTGAAACTCTTCAAGAGTTAAGTGGTGCCTTAAAGACTGAGGACCATCTGCAGTCTGGTAACAATTCATCACTTGGCAGATGTTCACTGGACCAATCCATGAGACCTTTTTAAAGGGCTTGTAAGAAGCCAATGCTGCACCACCTGGTTGGCTCTACAGAATCAAATTATAAAGCACTGTGGTTGTCTGGCACCACCTCTCTATGGTGTGCACAGAAAAGTTCTGGTTTATATTTTTAATGTTATTTTGCTAAAAGCCATCCCTTAAAAGAGAAGGGTCAAATAATCTGGGTACCTAGAGGTGGACTTCCTGTCCCCCACCCCACAGTCACCTTTATTCCTGCCTCTGCCTACTGGGGATGTCATTCTTGCCAATGGGGCTAGATGACCACACAGGCAGCTAAAAGCCTCTGAGAAGGTCAAGGCTCACAGCAGGCCAATAAACAGCTCCTGGTGGTAAGGATGGCTAGGCTTCCAGGGTAATTCTGAGCAGATTTGAAAGCAGAAAGTACACCCATCAATAAAGAAGGCCCAAAGATTGGATTCTAGTGTAGAATACAGCTACAATGTTTCCCTTCTAGTCTCTTAAAAAAAAAAATCTCCTCATCTGGAAATTAACACATGAATTCATTAATGGTGGTAAATTCTAAAAGGAATGAAATTGGGCAAGGGAGAGGAATTTTATTTTTCACTAGATGGATTTCTGATTTTTATAAGCATGTATTACTTTTATAATTAAAAAACAATATAATTTTTAACAGGTTCGTATGGAGGCTAGACATCATTGACATCACTCAAGCAAGGTTTACAAGGGCAAGGAAGAGACACATCTCTCCTAGTGACACAAACTGATTGTACCCACATCATAAGAATTCTTTAATTTTTCCCCTATGGATTCCATGCTTTTAAAAAAGATTTTTGCCCACCAAACAGCATTTAAATATTCAAATTTTCTTATTGTTTTAAAACAAAGATATTAAATACTGCTAGAGTATGTGTGCATACTCTAAAGGCATAATCTAAGAGTTACTATGCTTTTCTGTGCATAAAACACATTGACATTCATGTGGCAGGTGCTTAATGATGTTTAAAGTACATTCCTTTCACAGCCCTACTGATCATAAACCAAGCATACCTTTTAAACTGGTCTTTAAATTCCACCTCATACAGGGTGTTCCTTAGTTTTCTTCTACTGGATGTAGTATTAGATGTCTAAAGGGTAGACTCTTAATAGGAATACTCTCCCTGGCTCTCAGATTCAAGTAGGTTCCCGAGTTTCAGACAGTCCAAGTTTGGACAGTGAGCGACACTATTTCCACCCAACAGCCCTATCTAGAAAATGTTTCTCAATGGATCTGGGTCCTGAGTCTGGACAGCAAAAGTTCGGACACTGAGGGATGCCCACATCTGAAAACAGTAGCTTGCACAAACACATCGTCTTCATCTCCAGTGATATGCTAAGACCCTGAACAGGGTCTGGTTCTTTAAAGATGAGAATGGAGGAAGTTTGCAAAAGTTACAAAACAAAACCCCAAAACCCCCCATAACCAAAAGGAACAACGTTCAACATGTTTTGCAACACAAGACAAAACCCAACAGAACTAATTTTGAGTTAAAAATATGTACCGACCATAGGAATATTTTCCACCCCCCCACTTCATCATGTCATGAATACCAAGGGAAAAAAATCTTACAAAGGAAAAAATTTTATTCAGTAGCTTTTAATAATAAAAAGATCACTAAACATCTACATGCCAGATACTGAACTAAGTACCTCTCCATGTGCTTTCTAGTTATACTTTAACCAGAGCAAGAATCTTCCTCTGCTCTTACCTCAATTCAATAGCATCCAGTAATGTAAACAAGCACATTACCTATGGTGCTTTATTCTCAGAGGAATTACAGGGAGGGAGGGAGAGAGCAAAAGAACCAGAAGACAAAATTATGCTCATTTGACGTTAGGCAGAATTTCACAGTACAGTAATAAATGTCTAACAGAGGGGCGCCTGGGTGGCTCAGTCATTAAGCATCTGCCTTTGGCTCAGGTCATGATCCCAGGGTCCTCTGCTCAGCGGGAAGCCTGCTTCTCCCTCTCCCACTCCCCCTGCTTGTGTTCCCTCTCTTGCTGTCTCTCTCTAATAAATAAAATCTTAAAAAAAAAATGTATAAAAGATTGAGTTTGGAGAAAACGAAGACACAGGTGAAATAACTGGAAAATAAAGCAATGCTGAATGTCCAAACAACAGGAAGGGCTGGAAGGGTAGGGGAGCCTGGGCTTCCAGGCCTACTGCCAAGGCTCTTGGGGGGTGGGGGAAGGGGCACAGTTCCCCTTCTAGACTGCAAGTTCTTTAAAAGCAAGGATGGTGGTTCTCATCACCTCCCTTCTGCTTCATTATCTGTAAAATGTTTCCTTAGCTTCTTCCTAGCTTTTTAACACTACACCTGAGATATTGCAATAGGTAATCATAATCACCATAAGATGCGGAACTGCAGAGAAGAGAAATCCAAAGGGGCAGGGGCAGTGGTCCCTGGGCTGAACTCTGGATGGCGCTCTGGACAGAGAAAGAAGCCTGGTATTTATGAAGCACTGAATATAAGGCAGGCATTTTCAGACAGGCCACACCAATTTGCAAAACACGGTAAGATAGGGAAGTAGTCACACTGCTTTCAGCTGAGAAAAGTTGAAGCTGGGGGTTGACTACCATTCCAAAGGCCACAACTGGAAAAGCCTAAATTCAAACCCAGATTTCTCTGATACTAAAGCTCTCACAGGGAGCATGCACAAGCAAAGAGGCAAATGAAGGGATTCACTTTTTGTCTGGGTACAGTAAGAATGTTGATCTAGTTAGAATGGAGAGTTAAACAGAGGAGTAGAGTAAGGTAGGTTTCAAAGGTCAGGGTGAAGCCAGGTAATGGGGAATGAACACTAGGTTCATCATTCACCCAATGAGTCTTTGGCACCAGAATCCAATTTTGAAGCAGGGGAGGTGGCACACCTTAGAAAGATATGGTAGTGGGCTCCTATCCTTTATTTCTCTGGTTCCTTTCCAGCAGCCCCTTACACACTGGTGCCTCCCAGAACCCCACCCTTGCCATTTACGTTCTTTTCTTGTTCTCCTCTGGTGTGATCCCATACACTCTCTGACCTCGACCTAACTATTGGCATCTTCAAAGCCTGTAAGCCTGCTCCTCAATATGCTCCTAAACTTCAGCCTGTCAGCTGATAGCTCAGCTTCTAACAACCTTAAGTAGGTAGATACAAATATTGTCATCCAGTTTTTATAGAAACTTAGAAGTATTGATTGGCCCAAGATTACACAGCTGTCAAGTACCAGAGGCACAAGGTAAGCCTGTTCCTGTCTCTGTGTTCATGCCACATTGTTGCTGTAAGGGAGATTAAGAAAAAGGAAAAAGATTGTGTTGGAGGATAGCAGGTTAGATTTCAAAGGAGGGGCGCAGCGTACCTGCTTGTGGGATTTCAAATGAAGCTGGTATTCTGTCATGCCAGCTGGAACGCTAATAACGAATATATCTGTTTTCAACAAATGAGGCCAGGACCTTGCTTCACCCATTTCTGCATCCTCAGAACCTAGCACAGACTTGACACATACCCTGTAGTTACCCTGTAGTTGCTGATATTTGCTGAATCTGCATAAAGCCAGGGAGGACACTTAAAAAACTGATAGGGAGGGGCGCCTGGGTGGCTCAGTCCGTTAAGCATCTGACTCTTGATTTCAGCTCAGGTCATGATCTCAGGGTCATGAGACCGAGCCCCATGTTGGGCTCAGCACTCAGTGTGGACTCTGCTTGAGATTCTCTCTCTGCCTCCCCGCCCCCAACTCGCGCCCCACTCCAACTTGCGCCTGTGCACTTTCTCTCAAAATAAATAAAATCTTAAAAAAAAAAAAGAACCGGAACTGATAAGGAAGTGGGTGAAAGGGCTTGAACTTGAAAGAAGAGGTAAAAGGAGATATATCTCAAGAAACAATATGCTGATTAAAAAAAAAGTACTATGAGGTGCCTGGCCGGCTCAGTACATGAAGCATTCGACTCTTGACCTCAGGGTCAAATCTGAGGCCCACATTGGATGTAGATTACTTAAAATAAATATTAAAAAAAAATACTAACATTTGCCTGCTCTTTACAGAAGACGCCATTCAAGATTACACAATTATTTTGTTTAATCTTCAGGATAACTTTGCTCTACCTTACCCTTGCCCCAGTACTCACAAAAACTAGCAGAGTACTTTGTAGAAGGTCTGCTTTTGTATGGTGCTTCTGAGCTGATGGCAAGATAAGTTGAACTGAGACAGGGTTTAAAGTTAGTGTGCAGGGAACAATGAGGAATACAAAGAAAGGAGGCACTGTGAGTGGGAGAAGTGTAAATATCCAATGTCACTGAAGTCAGGGGAAGAAAAGAGTTTCAAGGAGAAGGGCAAGTTTAGCTGGTGGAAGAACTGCAGGGAGTTGACAACGAAGACTAAAAAAAGACAGCTGAATTGGAAAATCAACAAGTCACCAGTGAGCTTTGAGAGTAGTTTCAGTATAGTGGCGGTCTCCCAGACTATGGTATTAAGGTATAAGGAAGGGGAAACAAGAGAGAGAAAGTCGGTAGCTAAAGCACTGAGGTCACTCCTCAGTGACCAAGCCACTCACTCAAGAAGTTCAGAAGAGGGAGAATGCTGTCAAATCGGTTGCCGCAAAAACGCAGTCGCCAAAAGAGCTGAAACAGGAATGAAGGAGACTGGCACATGAGGGTGTTAGGCTGCGCGGGATCTGCGAGAGATTATTAGGCTGGTCCTACCGAGATGAGACAAGGGCGCAGAGGCAAGAGGAAAAAACAGTATGCTGAGTCCTTGCAGCAGTGACGAAGAGGGCTGGTCCCAGACATCCGACGCTTCTCGCCAAGGAGGCAGCGTGGACACCGGCGCCTAGGTGCCTCCCGGGGGACGTCTGGGAACCCGTTTCCGCGCGGTTCTACCTCCTAGCTCCCCAGCAGCCCGGACTCCGCCAAGGCGGCGCTCGGAGGCCCGGAGCACCCGCACCTCCTGGAGAGACCCAGAGACGCAGGCCCCGCAGGCACTCACCCCACGGCCACGCGGCGCCAACGCCGGGCCGGCCGTACGATGAGCGCGTCCCAGGCGGCCGCCAAGCGGCCCTCAGGGGAGCCGGGTTCCGGGGGAGCGGGAGCCAGCTGTAGCGAGCTCCACAGCGAGCGCAGCGCCGAGCCGGGCAGCTGCGGCTCCAGCAGGAGGACACAGCCCACCGCCAGCGCCAGGAAGCCGGCGTACGCAGAACCGCGCCACAGCGCCATGGGGACGGAGGCGCCGCAGCAGGCAGCCCGCTCCTTTCCCGGCCCGCGCCTCTTCCGTCTCGGCGTGCGCCAACGTCGACACGCGCCACGTCACGCCGGCGCGCCACGGCCCCCAAGGGGCGGGCTGGGGGCGGGGCTCTGCGCCGCTCCCCGGGTGCCCGTGACGGGGCTGGGGGGCGCGGTTGCACCGCCCTGGGGGAGGTGGGACAAAGGCCAGAACGCGGAACCGGGCCTGGGCGCCCCCCCGGGACTCCAGCCGGACCCCACCAGAGGTGCGAGGGTACGTTTGTTTAACCCGTACGACGGAACGGACGGATTATGAAGAAGCAGGCCAGCCTCGCGCGAATCTTTGAGCCGTCAATGTCCGCATTTGGGCAGCGCCTGCAGTTGCTCGGAGGGGCACCGGTCACACTCCCCCTCTTTTAATTCGTCCCTCCGCAAGTGTGTCCATCCTCCACCGCTGGCTTAAGTCTTCCTCTTTCTCCCCGGGGGAATTAGCTCAGACGGCAGCCGCGCCGCAGCGAGCCCCTGGGGCACGCGAGGCGGGAGGATTTCGCTCCTCTGGAGGGTAGCCGAGGCCTTCGGCCGCTCGAGGCCTGTGCCAAGACCGGAGAGCCAGCAGTGAGCCCTCTCGCGGGACGACCGGAATCAGGCCTTAAAATAACCCTCTTGGGGGCGCTGTTCCCTTTAACAGTATCAGAAAACCGCACAAATGAACAGTCTTGTGTTACAGAGTTTATGGACTTGGGTTAAGAAACACTGATTTCTCCTCTTTTCCGTTGGTGATAGGGCTTCAGCCCGGGCAGGCTTCGTCTTCCTCGTTGTGACCCTTCCGTGTATGAGCGTACCTTAAGAGCAGTAGAGGTAGGCTTGTTACCAGCTCCGTCTCAGCAGCCACTGTGTACAGCCTATTCTTCCTTGGCCTATTCCTTTTTTTTTTTTTTCCTAGTTCTGCTGGCTCCTGACCTTGGCTTTGTGTCCGATTTTCCACTGCCCCTGACCTTTGGACTTGGCAATGAAACTTTATTTCCCTAGATTTGATCTTCGGCAGTAGGGTTGATTCCCCGCCCAGCCCCACATCACACACTTCGCCATCCTGGCAATCTACCTTCCCCTAGCTCACCCCACCCAGGTTACCTGATTATAGCCGCCTTTTCAAAGGAGATGTTGACACAGGAAGAGATTTGGGCTGCCATGTAAAAGAAAGAAGCCAAGGAGCCAATGAGATTTGTGTGGAGCCTTCAAACTGTTCTCTGGAGTTGCCTTTCCCTTCTCGCTCCTCAAGTAGACATGTCAAATCAGTTCCTAGAGAAACTGCTCTCTCTCATGGCCCCCAGTGGGCAGGTTTCCCTACCATCCCAGAGAGACTAAACAGCGCCTAACTCAAAAGCAGGGAATCTGCTGATGCCAAAGAACACTTCTCAATTAACAATAATTGTGCCTTGGATAAACCTCATTGGCTACAATACTGCCACTGCACAAAGCTTAGAGAATACTTCTTTGTATCGAGAATTTGGACCAAGAGTCAGGAGTCTGTTGCTAGTTTTTGTTTTTGTTTTTTCCTGGACCCACAAGATCACATAGGCTTGAAGGTCAGATAGAGTTAGTTAAATATATTTCCAAGGTGAAGTTTTGGAGGAGTTCAGGAAGCTGAACTATGGGAGGTCTATGGAGCAGACAGGCCTAGAGAAACAGGGGAATGCTCCACACCAGAGCGATGTGGAGAGAAAGCTACCTGGGGCCTTCCCTTCTGGCTCCCGAGATAGCTGCTGAACTGCCAAAACACTTTCTTTGAACCTAATTCTTCCGCTTTCTAGGCTTGCCAGAACTCCCCCCCCCGCCCCGCCCCCTGCCACTCCCTCAGTTTTATTAAGATATAATTGACATATCAATTGACACATCAGTTATAACATTGTTTAAGTTTACGGTGTCCAACATAATGATTTGATACATGTATATATTGCACAATGATTACCACAGTTCACATCACTACCTCACAGTGACAAAATTTTTTCTTGTGACAAGAATATTTAAAATCTACTCTCTTAGCAACTTTAAAATATATGATACTAGAACTTTTGATTTAACCACAGAGACAAAACAGCAGCCACTGGAACAAAATGGAAGTTTATTTCTCATGTGAAAGTCCGAATTGGGTGCTGGTACTGCTGCAGCAAACGTGGCCCCATCTGCTCATTATCAAGGTTGCTCTGGGGCGCTTGCTGGTTGGTGGCTCAGTGTAGCTTTGTATTGTGGGTGGTGGCAGGGCTGGACAAAGGGCCCAGAGTCTGGACCTCAGTTCCTCCTGAGAACAGCAGGAGCTGTAGGAAGAATATCAGCTGCACTTGTGGGGCGTGGCAGAATCTGATGTGATTTCTGGTCACATACACAATCCTACGGGTCTTAATTCCTTCTCACTCCTCATCAGGGGCTCAGGGGCAAGCAGTCAGCTTTTTGGGTACTGCAGTCCCTCTTGAAATAATTCCTTAATGAAAAATAGTCATTTCAGATTCTGATCATTATCTTTTTAGATGTGGAATGAGTTGCAAGCTTACTATTTTTCTAGAAGTCAGATTTCTGGGGCAATTATACAAAAGAGCCCGGAGTGGGCAGCTGTGGCTCTATTCCCTAGGCTGAACAAAGAGAAAAGATCTGGGCAGGCCTCAAGACACTCCTTCCCCCACTCAAATTGCTTCCAGACATGGCCTTTGCTGTTGGTTCTCTCTCCTAGGACCTTGAAATGAGAGAAAAAAGCAATTTGGTTCCAGAAAATTCAGAGACAAATGGAGGCTACAGTTGTCCTACCCAAGACCCTGACCTGGAAGGCCAGGAAGCAGATCCCATATTTATATAAGGAATTAGCAGAATCCTGTCAGTTCCCAAATTAGCCTGAGGCTTTGGCTTTGACAGAAACATAAGTCAACACCACTCCTGTGATCTGAAGGGTTTTAAGGAGCAAGTTTGTTCCGACATTGGAACAGAAACTAAAATGGTACCAAATAGTCCTTATGTAAGCCGGGCTAACCCACTTTTCCATAGTTCTAGGCCTCTGGGGTTTCATCCGAGCTGCTCTCCGAAGTCCACACTGTGTCAAGGCCTTTGCTGATGCCAGGGACACAGCCCACCAAGGCCACACACAAAGGCCGAGTCAGGGCACAGCTTTGAAGGTTATAGAAAACTAAGGAGGGGTGCCTGGGTGGCTCAGGCGGTTAAGCCTCCAACTGTGCAACTCTTGGTTTCTGCTCAGGTCATGATCTCAGGATCCTGACACTGAACCCCACCGCCCCCCCCGCCCCACCCCACCAGGTGACAAAAGAGAAGGAATAAAGGATTCCAGCATCTGAACAGAGAAAGTTTTATGTCTGTAGCCACAGCCCTGGGGAATCAGACACCCTCCTCCCTCACCTGCCATCAGGAGGGCACTAGAAGATCTAGGAGGATTGCTGAACACAGATTGGGGCAGAGAACTTCTTAGTTTGTGAGGATGTAACAGTGTGGTGGCTATGGATTTCCACTTTGGGATTAAATGCTTTGGACTAGGAGGAAGTGCTGGGTGTGGGAAAGTGGGAGGGGCAGAACTGTCTGGGGCTTCTTATGTGGCAGGCGCCTATGAGCTTCATAGGGCAAATGAGTAGGGTGCAGGGTGAAGCATGGCCCTGTCCCAAAGTGCTTTCTTGGATGTCCCACACTCCTGGGACAAAGTTCTCACACTGGCCGCTGTAGGCCTTTCACACTCAGGGGCCTCTGGGTTGGTACGCCTCTGCAGGCTGTGTAAGCCAGCTCTGTTGTAGGTCCTGCAGCATGTTACAGCCATCCGATTTGGGTTCTGTCATAGTTACAGTGTATGTTTGGAAGGCAATGGAAAGTTTGCCTTCTAACTGTATTTCCTTCTTGAGTCAAGAACCCTAACAATTCTAGAACCACTTAGCCCCAGAGTTGTTTTCCAAAAACAAATAAAGGAAAAAAAAAAGGAAACAATAAACGTTCAACTGATATGGCGTGGCTAGGCTGCTCTAGAGTGGCGAGGGGCCCAGGCTTGTTCCATCTTTTGCTCTGCCGTCCGTAGGGTGACAGCATAGAGGAGAGGGCATGCCATGATAAAATTGGGGTTCTGGAAGAAAGGAGAGCTGGCGAACAGTCATTGCAAGGCAATCAACATCTTCTACTCTAACGGAAAGAATGTGGGATTTGATGCCTGGCTTTAAATTTCTACTTCTGCCACCAAGCATCTGTGTATCTCAGGCAAGTCATTTAACCTTTCTGTCCCTCCGTTTCCTTACCTGCAAAATAATTCCTACTGTACCAAAGGGTTGTGAGTAGACATATCTTAAAAGAGCCTAGCACGGTGTCTACACCATGTTGATACATGACAAAAACACTCCCTGCCATGGCCACGGTTGGTTCCTAGGAACTCTCTTTAATTTTCTTCTCAGCCCTCCTGGTCTGGCATTTTCTCACCATAAAGAGGATGAGCATCTTTACATAAATCACTGTGCAGTGACCTTTTCTATTTTCAACTGTTTTCTATATAATATTCCTCTGAATAAAAATACTAGAATTTATTTGCTCAGTGTATAGTAAGTAGAACGTTTGGAATTTTCCCAGGTTTTTACTATTATGTATACTATTGCTCTTTACTATGCTGATGCATATGTATATAAGTTTCTTCAGGGTGTAAACCAAGAGTGAAATTCCTGGGTCATATGAAACACCTGTCCTCAACTTTACTAGATAATGTCAGACATCCTTCCAGAGTGGTATGCCAGCTCACCCATATGAGAATTCCTGTTGCTCGACATACACACCAAAAGGTTCTTAAAGCTTTGCCATTCTGGGGGCACCTGGGTGGCTCAGTCAGTTAAGCATCTGACTCTTGATTTTGACTCAGGTCATGATCTCAGGGTTGTGGAGCCTGCTTAAGATTCTCTCTCTCCCTCTGCCCCTCCCCCCCTTAAAAAAAGCTTTGCCATTCTGTAGGATGTGTAGGGGTGTCTTATTATGGTCATGACAAAGTTTTTGTTAGTTGCAAATACCTTCTACCCCCTGTCACTTGTCTTTTTATTCTCCTTATAATATCTTTAGT